TGTCCTTTAATCCGGGCAGGGTCCCGATAGCTCACTTTGACAGACATCTGTGCCCGAACTTTACGATGCCCTGTCCGTTTGCTGTTCCAGGAGAAGGCGCAGGGGTGGGGAGAGTCTTGCAGGGGTGTGGACATGTGCACAGGCATTGAGGGAAGGTGAGCTCACTGACGCCTAAAGTCGGACTTCTCAGGTTAGGTGTCAAAATAGAGGCCATGCTGACGTCCTCAGAGGGTGAGCAATGCATAAACGAACGCGTCCGGTGTGAAACCAAATAGTAAAACGGGCTTCGAAGGTAGAACGTTTGCAAATTTATCATCAAAGTTGCATAGCAAAGTGAGGAGAGAGGACAGAGCGAAAAGCTCAGTTGAAATTAGGAACAAATCTACGTATTTCCTACATTATAAAACCTACATTGAAAAATTTAAAGAAAAACTAGCTTTTGACACATGACCGCCGACGCACACAGCCGCGCCCGGAGCCGGCATCCCCACGTGGGTTTCCCGCCCTCCCTCTGTGACGTGGTTGGAGCAGCTTATAACTGGATGTTTTCCAAATGTTTTCAAGTCTGTTATCTCGCGTGACCCTTATAAAAGCCTCTAGATAAGACGGGCATTAATATTACTGTTGAGCAGGGAGGAAGCCGGTTACGAGAGGCTCAGAAACTGCCCTAAAGGGCACAAAGCTAAATGGCCACAGGAAGGGTTTCGTGGCCCCGGCGCCGAGCCGGGCCCTCGCGTGCTTTCTTCCGAAGGGCCCCGGGGACAGGTGCTCTTCACCTGAGACCCGGAGGTGGGACTCTGACAGGGCAGAGGACCTGGTCAGGTCCACACAACAGGTGAGGGGGGGACACCGCGGAGACCCCCTGGTGACCAAGACGACAGTGCGGGAAACAGACACAGACCGAAGACCCGCCTTTCGGTCACTCGAGGCTTGCGGTGAGCGGCACCGAGTGAAAACAAGAGCCTGGGCTTTGGCGTTGACCGGCCCTCAGGCCACCTTCCGGCTCCGCGCCGGCCCTCGCTGGGTGGCCGGCGGGCTGGCCGCCGGGAGCTCTGAGGTTCAGGTTCTGTATCCGCGAGATGAGCACAGCGACAGCCACCGTGCGGTCTGCTGATTAAGTCAGAGGACCCTCCCAGCGCCCCTCGCGTCCTGCGCGCAGTAGGCGCTCCACAAGTGCCCAGCTCTCGCCCGGAGCTGGGCTGGACGTGAGCCAACCCCTTCCCCTCTTTCCTCCCTAAGAACTGCATTCAGAGGCGGTAACACTCCTTTTACCTTTCCCGCAGGGGCCCGGTTCCCCTGCGTTCAGAGCCCATCGACCTTCTCTGAGTCCTGGGGCGAGGTGACGGCTCCACCGAGAGGCACCCTTTCTCCCGCCTTCCCCCAGCGCGTATCCACCCCGACGGCAGACAGGAGGTCTCATGGCAGCCGAATAAATAAATAAATATGCGTCCAAAGAGGAGAGAGGCTGCCGCCCCGGGCTGAGGCGTAAGGACCGTAACAAGCAAACACGGCACCAACCCCGCGGATATCACACACGGGCCGGGCTTCCACCCGCTTTACTGGCGAGGGCTCCTTGGAATGGCCTGTAAAACTGGGGAGCCTGGGCCGCTTCCTCTGGGGGGCTCATAAACCGTGGCAGCCGATGCTGGTAAAGTGGGTCGTGTGGGACCTTAGACATCAGGAGAGATGCGAGCCGCGTTTATTGCCGGTGCCTTGCGCAGAGAGGGGAGCGGAGCGGCCGGGCTTCCATCTGTGCCGCGTTACAGAGCCTGGGGGGGCACGTTTCACCGAGAGGCTGGGACCTGCGGTCTCTCCCTTTGACGTCCTGAGCTGCCCCCGTGACGGTGCAGAGACGGCCGACTGCAAACGCGAATCTTTGCAAATACGCCTCCCAACGTGAGCGAGCCCGGGGGTTCCCCTCGTGTCCCCCCCGACCCCACTCTCTCTCTCTCTCTCTCTGCTTCTCAAGCTGATTCAACGTGGGTCTACTTTTTTCTTTTTTTAGGAACAAAACAGCTACAACAAACGCCCGAAGGCCACCTCCGCGGGGTGTGCTTCTCCGTGATCCTTCAGGAGACGACACACCACACTCCGAAATCAGGCAGGAGAAAAAAGACTCGGCCGCTGGCCACTCAAGAGTTAAGTCTTGGTTTCACATCCTGACGCTCAGCCCGATTGCCGGGGTCTCAGATTCCCCAAAGCATCAGCCAGAGGACGACAGAGGAACCCTATCCCCCTTATCACGGCCCCTTGAAAGGTGAGCCTGGTGGCGGCAGATGGCGATCCCCCCTTAGCAGGGATTTTAACAGCTTTTCCCAGGCGGTGATTTCAACACCCCCGGAGGGGAGGTGGTGCCTTGTGAGCCTCGTGATTCCATCTGGTACTTTTCGAGGAGTCAAGTGAAAATAGGAGTCGAGTTAAAACAAACAAGCCAAACAAAAGAAAAGCTCCGTCGGCTGTAAGCAGCCAGAGGTGCCTGGGCTGGAGCGGGGACCGCGGCCCACCCCGCCTCCCACCCAGTCTCTCGGGAGAGGCGCTTTTGTCCGTGGCGAGCACAGTGGACCTCGGAGACCTGAGGTTTCCATTTTCACTTGGTTGAGTTCACGGGGGTTCCTGGAGGGTGTTGCTAGAGCTGAGCCGGAAGTGCCCTTGGGGGTCCCCTCTGGAATCCAGGCAGAGGCCAGATCGCCCAGGACACACAGTGGGAGCCTCAGAGACGCTGAGTTTGCCGGTGAAAGGGGAGCCGGGGAGGAGGCCTTGGGTTCAGCCGGGGTCACGGTGCCGGCCGCACTCGCTCTGTCACCTGGAGGCCCCATGCTGGCCCCCAGAACGGAACGGTCGCCGTGAGACCAAGCGTGAGGCCTGCGTCTGGATGCTCCGGGGTGGCTGAGCCTGGGGATGGTCCCGAGGCTGCAGAAACGACCGTTAAAAATAATTCAGGTCTTTCAGTCTGTGGCTGAAGCCCCAGCTCCCCGGGGAGACCAGCTCTGCCTCGAGTGGGAGACGTCTCGGCTACCATGCGACGCGCGGAATAGTTGCCGATTTTCATGCGGCTCTTTTATAAAGTAAATTCAGACCCGAGGGTTGAAGCTCTGGTCCCGCCGCCAGGCCCTTTTCCCCCTGGCTGACTTATGAAGTCACCTTGCTGGTCTCCACTCAGCCTGCCTTTGGCGGCCTCCGCCTGCGCGGTTTTCTACCAATAAGTGCAGTTATTGCAAAAGACAGATCGGCAGGCGAGTAAAATCCCTTCGAGCGCAAACCAACTGCGTTTCCTTTAGAAAAAGGCTGTATTGACAAACCCAGTCTCCACAGCATCTCCTTGTTGGTAAAGGCCTCCCCTGTTTTTCTCCTGATTCTGCACCGAGACACCCTGGGGAGGCATGACAGCCCCTCGGGGACCGTCTGCGTGTGAACAGGCCGGCCACGGGGGCGGGGGACGGATCCCAGGGTCCCTGCTCCGGCTCCAGCACACAGCACGTGGGGTGAAAGACTATCTGAAGTGAGAATGGGGCTTCCCGCCACCCAGGGTCTCCCGCCCTGGACTCTGCTACCAGGATGGTGTGTGTGTTGGTCACCAGGGCCGCGGTGTGACCAAGGGCCAAGGGGCTTCGCCGCCGGCCTGCACTGGCTCAGTCTGGAGGCCGCAGTTCGAGGTCGAGGTGTCAAGAGCGTCGGTGTCTCCTGAGGCCGTGAGAGAATCGTTTCCAGACCTCCCTCCTGGGCTCGTGGGTGACCCTCCTCCCCCGGTGTCCTCACATGGTCGCCCAGCACGTGTGCGGCCTCCAACCCCCGCACTGTGAGGACACCGGTCGCGCTGGGTTGGGGCTCTCCCTGATGACCTCATGTCAACGCGTTACGTCTGCAAAGATCCCACCTCCAAACGAGAGCACGCTCTGGGGCACCAGGGGTGAGGAATTCAACATGGGAACTGGGGGGGCCACGATTCATCCCATAACATGTCACAGCAAGTCTCTGAGGCTAAAGGGGTCAACACTGGCATTGAGGTTACAAAAGCCTAGTTCTGGGCGAGAAGAGTGGGGGTGGAAGGGCCCTGGCAAAGGGAAACGTAAGCATGACCCGCCTGGTGGGGAGGGAGCGGGGCACTCGGGAACGGAGGCTTCGGCTCCGAGGGCACCCAGAGGCCGTGGGACCCGGGCAGAGGGGACTCGCGCCTCCTTGTCTGAGTGCCGCCCACGGGGGAGGGGCGAGATGTCAGCGTGGACACGGCTGTCAGCGGGTCCTGAGGAACCCCAGGAATGTCCTTCCTTGTCGAGAGCGTCCCCCAAAGATGCGTCTCTTCCTGTCAAATGAAACGGTCGGTCCCTACGACCTTTCAGCCAAGAGCCCTGGGAGCCCAAACGCCCACTGTGCCCTGTGGGCAGAAGCAGTGCGAAGGCTGTAACACGTCTCCAGGCCACCTCCCCAGGCCCCCGCCCCGTCGTGTGACAACTCTCCCAAAGAGCCCCTGCCCCTGCTTCAGGGAAACTTCGGAGGAGGTGGCGGCCCTGGTCCCCCCAAAAATAGGCGTGGTCCAGGCTCAGTGGCTCTCTAGTAATGCTCGTGATGCTCCCCACACCGCCTTCCCAGGGACACTCCCGCCTCCCGGGCCCGTCGTCTCTGAGAGGCTTCCTTTCGGAGCCTCGGGCGACCTGAGGGGCCCGCCGCGTCCGGTCCTCCAGCCGATGAGCCCAGTGTTTTCCTTTGCAATCAGCTATTCTAATTAAGACTAAAATGGGTAACTATTGCGTAAAACGACTGTTTTCCCTTAAACTAAGCACGACGCCCACGAAGCCCTCGCCCTGCAAACAAAGGCAGGATCCGGCATCGCCGCTTGGCCGCCTCTGGCCCCGGGCTCGGGCTCGGGCACCACGTTCACCGCGGGCACCGCCCTCACCCCGCCCGCTGCCCAAGCAGCCTCCAGATCACCTCGCGCTGGCGCGGGTCCCGCTGGAGGAAAGAAACGCCTGTGTTTATGTGGAAACTATGACTGTACACTCTAATGGGGGGCATTTAAAGTTTTTCATGAATATATAATTTCAACAGTGAGCAGGATGGGCACGGCTCGAGAGATCCTCAGGAAGAAACAAATAACAGATTTACAAAGATTGTTAGAAACTGACCGGGGATTAGCGGCAGTTGCTTATATGACCACGAACACAGAGCGAAATAATCAAGGTGTTCATTCGTTTGCGGTCACTTAGTTCCCGTGTCCCGTTTCCACGAGAGCGGCCGAAGGTCACCTAACGTTCAGCTCGGCGTTGGGGGGTCGACTTGGAGGCAGGCCCAGCGCAGGGCACGTGGGAGGGTCCCCCCTTGTCTCCGAGCAGATGGGGGCCGAGCATGTCCCAGAAATAATGCGTTTTGTCTCCGGAGAGAGGCTGCTGGCTGCCCGGTTCTGACGCGACGTCGCTCGCCAGGCCCGCCGCTCGGGTCAGAGCGAATGACTCTGGGTTTCCACTCCTCTGCTTCCTTCGCAAAGAGTTTCCACGCGAGATCCAGAAGCAGAGACACCTGCTCGGCCGGCTCCCAGGTCTGAAGCCCACGGCGCCGGGAGCAGTCGGCCCCACAGGGTCGGAGAAGCAAAGACGCGGACGGGCCGACCCACCTGCCGCCCTCCGCTCTGGCTGCAGATCGCTGCTTGTCCCGGCCCTGGAGGCTGGAAGCCCAAGGCCACCACCCTGGCAGATTTGGTGTCTGGGGGGGCCCCGCTGCTTCATCTTCGGCAGTTTTCTGGGACCCCCCTTGCTCCTTTCCTCGCAGAGGCGGGGTGAGTGGGGCTCAGCCCCCCGCTCCCGTCGTGTCTCAGGCCAGCGGCAGCCTCAGCACGGCTCACCCTGGACTATTGCTTAGCTCCCGGGGGAGGCAGGTGTCGCATCTGTGAAGTGAGCCCTGTGATACCTACGAGAGCGAACCCGTGAAAGGCCTGGAACCCAGGACACAGACGGCAAGAAGTCACCGCATCCCAGCCAGGACAGGGACTGATGGACAGCACCACCTCCCCTGGGTCTGCCTCTTGTCAGGGGCTGTGTATGCATGACCTGTTCTCTCTGCAATCACCCAGCAAGAAATATATTGTCACACTACCGCTCGTGAGGGAACAGCCTCAGAGATAACACGTAATAATAGAGTTTTTGTTTTGTTTTTTCTTAAACAGAAGGAACTGGGATTTGAACCCAANGACAGCACCACCTCCCCTGGGTCTGCCTCTTGTCAGGGGCTGTGTATGCATGACCTGTTCTCTCTGCAATCACCCAGCAAGAAATATATTGTCACACTACCGCTCGTGAGGGAACAGCCTCAGAGATAACACGTAATAATAGAGTTTTTGTTTTGTTTTTTCTTAAACAGAAGGAGCTGGGATTTGAACCCAAGTCTCATGGCCTCTCCAAACAGGCCGGCCCAGCTGAGACCCAGATTTCTCGTTTGCAAAAATTTCTCTCCATTTCCCCCCGTTATGTCTTTCTAAGGACTAAGCACGTCTTCAGCTGGTACAAAGTGAAGGGGTTAGTATCTATTCAGGAGACTATGCAGGTAAATGACCGTCAAGCACTAGAGGGTAAGCCTCCTTTAGATTCGACGCACAGCTGCAGACACACACGTGACCTTCAGATAAGCTCCCAGCACCCAGAGCTGATTTCCAGATAGAATCAGGGCAGCTACACGGAGGAAAACATTTGACCAGGTCTTGGGTAGAATCTACAGGGCAGGAATTGGGGGCTATGGGGGGTGTACCGGGTAGATTTCAAACAGGAGAAATAATGCAGGTAAATACCATCACTATTGAAATCCACCTCGTGGTCTGCGGATAAGGAGATTTGGGTCGGTTGTTGAGACCTTTGAACCCTGGACACAATATCACGATTTCTGGGTGCTGTGGCCCCCAGGGGTCCCACAGCTGCTCTGCCGTCTCTCACCGACACTTTCCCCTTCCAGCTCCCTTCTCTCCTCCGGGACCCGCCACCCCCCAGCACTCCGCGGGTGGCGGGAGAGTTCACCTGCCCCCGGGTGCCCCGTCCCTGCACCCCAGACATCAGACCTCTGCTCACCAGCGTGAACCAGAAAGCGAGGCGATTACGCCCTGAGAACCAGAATACGGGCCTCGTGGGCTCAGTCAGACCAGGGCCCCGCTGGCCTCTGCAACATTGTATCTTATTTTAATCTTCTCAGCAACCCTGGGGGCAAACTGTAGAATCGTCTTGTGTTACATTGTGAAATATGCTTAGAGATGCTATTTTGTGATATAAAAGCTGACCAAGGCACCCCAAATCCTTAGCTTTCTTCACGAAGGACCTATGGCCGCAGCATTCAGGGAAGACACCCACATGCCCTATGCCCAGCATTCAGGGGAGACGCCCACATACCCCATGCTCAGCATTCAGGGAAGACACCCACATGCCCCATGCCCAGCATTCAGGGAAGACGCCCACATACCCCATGCCCAGCATTCAGGGAAGACGCCCACATACCCCATGCCCAGCATTCAGGGAAGACGCCCACATACCCCATGCCCAGCATTCAGGAAAGACGCCCACATGCCCTATGCCCAGCATTCAGGGAAGACGCCGTGCACCACGGGACCCGCCCGGGACGGCTGACGTGAGGGTGGGAGCGCTGGCTCCATGGTCCAGGAGACAGTGGAGAGAGGGTGTTTGTTAAGATCCATTTGAAACACGGCAACACTTAAGGGCCCAGAGAGCCTTCAGAATGGACGGTGCACCGTGAGGCCGTACCCATGACCCTGAATCCTCTACAGTCTCCCTGCTTTTGGACACAAGGCAGGCGGCGGGGGCAGAGAGCTGCCTCCTGGTCGGAGGGGTCCCGTGGACAGCGAGGGTGCCGCCCGCGCCCCGGGACAGATGGGACACGGGGCCATTACCCGGCCGCCTCGTTGCTCCTTGTCGGTGCGCAGCTCCGTTAGGAGAATTATACATGCACTGTTTCTCTCGAGATGAATTCCAAGAAAATGATCCGTGCAGGAGGAGGCTTCGGGACGTCGGATGTTTATGATCTGTGCCCTGTCGTCCTGGAATATTCCGTGTCCGGGAATCCTGGAGTCTCGGTAACCTTGACGACCGGCCTGATGTTCGGGCACCAGCCAGCTCTCCCGGTCGGCGCGTCCCTAACTAGCAGGGGTGGGGTTTGTCCACAGAGGACACTTTATAGTCGCTTAACTGCCACCAAAACCTCATTTATCATTTTAATAAACTTTTCGAGGGAAAGGGGGGAGGTCCCTGGACCCCCTTTATCTCTGGCATGGACACATGATGGGTAATCAAGGGGGAACAGAGTCGGGGCCACGCTAATCCCTCTCCGGCCCCACGTGGCTATTTTATTTTTTATTAATAACAGCACTAAAAACCACTGAGCTTTTTTTCCTTAATGATGTGTTGGTTTTGGAGAGAAAATACTGGCGAGACAGTAAAAGCTTAAACCCAAAATTCAGACCAAATACACAGAGCAGGTGATGAAAAAAAACCGAGCGACAAACCTTCTGGAAAACGTAATCGCAGAGAATGGAGAGGAGGGGAAGGGCCTTGTCCTTCCCAGGATGGAAGCGGCCGAGGGCTCTCAGCGGCGACTGTGCTCAGCAAAGCGTCAGGGGCCCCACCAGCGCCTGACGCTCAAGGTCGAGAGGCTCCGGCTCAGGGGACTCGGACCCGATGGGTCAGATTTGAACGTGGGTCCAACGCTTCAACCTGGGCTTTTTCCAATGTCCTGCGGCCTTTTCAGAGAAAGACAAAGACAACATTTTATTTCTCAGGATAAAAACTTTCTCTCCGTAACTTCCTCCCCCTGCGCTCCCCTCCCCGCCCTGTCTCCTGCCTCAGGGGCCACATCTCTATTCCCAGGAAACCACGTCTGTTAGACGTCCGGGGTTTCACACAAATGTCTGGGCCCGGAACGCTGCTGGGTGTTTTCAGGAAACTGGACTGGAAAACACAGAGTCTGGCTCCTGGAAACTGGGAGCTGGCCTCGTGGGGGTCCCACGGGGAGGTCCCAGGCTTCTTTGAAAACCTAAGGGGCGGGTGTTCTGGGAGGTGGACCCCCGCCAGCCTTGGCCACTCATCCCGGCCAGCGCATTGCCGCGGCCTCCAGGCTCCTCTCCTGTGGCTGGGGCCGCTCTTGGGGACCTTCACGTTGGCATCAAACACAAAAGTGTAGGAAAACACAATGGCCGACAATGCATGAATTTCGTACACTTTGCATTTCTTACTGTGGACACTCCTTTGGAAGAGAAACTCAAATTTTGCAGACGTGACTGAGTTTGCTAGGCCAATGGAAAAGCACGTTTGATTGCCACGGTCCTTTCTCAGGGCAAGGGTTTGCCCAACTTGCCGAGTCTTTCTGCCTTTTCTCTCTCTCTCCCACACGTCCCTCCCATCACATTTTGTTTCGCAAACACATCGCATGAATGCCAGCTGCGGCTGCATCTTCAGGATGGCATGAGTTCTCGGAGGGTCCCCTCGAACCCTGATGTTTTCCCAAATGCCAGCCTGATGGAAGAGCTGAAGGGAGAAATAGGCCAGGCCGGTGTTCACGGCCCGTCTCTACACAACGTGTCGTGAGTGTGGAACAAGGAGGAAAACTGTTAAATCTGCGATTCTGTGCAGCACACAACATTTTCCTGATGTTCCGGGGATTGCATTTCACCAGAACTTGCAACGAGTGCGTTCAAAGGGATTCTGCAGGACCACAAGCTCCCTGAAAAGAGAAATTCAATTTATAATGAGATTCACCGCTTCAAAGTCAGGCCTCTCCCCTCCATTGTCCAGAGGCCACAGCAGGAGTCATTTTCTGTGGATGGCTGCAAATTCGTGTACTGGGCGGCTTGCAATTGCTCAGGCCCAAGTAATGCCATCTCAGTACTGGGATTAAAATAATA